CAGGACACCTCCTGCCCTGGCCGTTGAATGCACAAACAGCAGTGGCATCTGTTACACAAGGGCTCAGATTAACCTGGTCACAGGCACCCAGACCTCTTCAGATCTACTCACCCTGTCCCCTGATGCTATTTCTGTTAAAAGGCAAATTTTCAGCTAAAGCCCAGCAGGGGCCCCTTACTCTGAGTATCGGTCATAGAAAGGAGATCTCAGCAGGTAATACAGCAGTAGGATGGTTCGTCGTCTCAGCTCCGCTCGCTCTCGCCTGTTTAGGTCTTTCAGATCACTCAGCAAGCTCAGACTGGAAGGAGAAGGGCACAGAGCTAACTCACAGCAACAGCAGCCAGCAAGGAGAAAGTGAGTTTCTAAATGCTCTCCCTTCTCAGCTTCATGCAGAGCAGGCTTCACCAGCCTAAAGCAGAGAGCACTAAGTGTTGCAGAAGATATCTGAATGCGTCAGTCTCTCAGCTAAAGACCAGCCCCTGTGTGCATTTCTCTCAGTGGGGCCTGCCCAGGATTGGAGAACAGGGGAAAGTGTGATGCTCAGCTACGACTAACCTCAAGCACCCACAGAGCCTCTTCCTCAGACTGACCTTGAGATGTCCAGGACTGCTGAGAGGAGCCAGGGTTTCCACGATCTCTGACCCCACACTCCTAAACTCAAGACTAGGAACATACAGTCAAGGAATGGAAAGAACCAGAGACACCTAACAGGAGGCATGCAGACAAGCGCCCCCTGGGTACCAGCAAAGCTCTGCTGAGCACAGAATATACTCTATGGCAGTGTTGGGGCGGGGGGGGCAGGGAAGGGCCTGGAGGACTTGCACCCACAACTCCAGCAGCTGAGGCAAACCTCCAAGGTGTAAGAGGAGGCAGGAGTTCCAAGGCCCTGCCTATACAGAGCAGGGCAGGGAGAGAGGAGCCTGGCACCAGGGCTGAGCCCAAAGCACCCTCTGCAGGCACACAAGGCATGGCCTGAGCCTGCCCGCAGCCAGGGCAGGATACGGTGGAGCAGAGGGCGGGCAATGTAGAGAGATTCTGCGATGGTTTCCTGAAGACCCAGAGGGGTGGGAGGCTGGTTCATCTCCTCTGCTCTTCGGCTCTGCGACTCCTCCCTCTGCTGGGGGGACCCCCAGTGCCGGGACTGCAGGGATGGGGCTGAAACAAGCACATATGGTCACTAACAGAAAAAAAACCTTCCTCCTGTGCTTCCCCGCACCACCACCCTGCTGCTTTCTGCACTGTGAAAGTGTGAAACGGGAAAGCTTAAAGAACTGAGCACACAGCAACTGCTGTGGCTGACCTGCACCCTCACAGCTTGCCTCCAGAGGGGACAGAGCAGGGAGAGGTACTTGTAAGGTCTGTGCTTCCCAAAGCATAACCAAGCTGAATCACACAGCTCACTTGGGAAAATACAACTTAAGTGCTAGCTTTGCAGGGATCCCTGTTGCTTTGATATCCCCCCACCCACAGTGACTGACAAGGTATGTACCAAAAGAAGGTTCTGCTCTTTGCTGCCCACATGCAGGTCACACATAAAGGGTGCAGAGCAGAAACAGCTCAGGCAAGGACAGAAAACAGGCTCAGCTACTTACTGCTCTGGAGAGAGCGCACAACACGGCTGGAACGCTTGCCAACATAGGTCTGATCCTTCCCTGAGGAGTTGTCTTCCATGTCTGTAGCAGAAAACAGCCACAGGGGTGAGGCTTCAAAGGAACATGCCTGACCCCAGAGCTGGCAGCATCTT